GGTGGGTTTAAGATGGTACATTTCTGTCAGGCCTCCATGAGGCAGGAGAGGAAGAGAGCTGGGTTTTCGTCAGGGCCCTCAGTGATTTCATTGTTTGTCATAGTTGACCCCTTTATGGGCAACCTTTTTTGAGTCAGGCAATGAGACAGGTGATTATATGGCTACAGAACTGGTGCCCTGGAGAAGTAACCTGATAGTCTCATCTCGGGTCAGTTCTGAGAAATGCATCAATACCAAGAGGGTTTGCTGCCACATTCTGTCTATGGAGGATATTGGCATGGCCCTGATCAGCTATCCAAATGCACTCCCTCTCTTCTGGGTTTAGGGAGGAGGACAGGATGACTTAAATGTCGTGCCAGGTCAGGTCATAGGATTGGGTCAGGTACTCAATTCCTTAGTAAATGTGGTCAGGTAAGTGGAAAAAGAACTGACACCTCTCAATCTGTGTGAGATTGGACATAGAGGATGAGACGTGGACTTGGACTATGCCCTCAGTTCCTGCTACCTCCCTCAGGGGTGGAATGGGCATGGGAACAGAAGTGGCTATTGAGGAAGGCAGTCTTTGGGTTAATCGAGAGTGAGTGTTAGGGGGGAAAGGGCTGTATTAGAATTCAGGTTCTCGGGATTTGGGCTCTGAGGGGCCTGGGGAGAAGGTGGTTGCTGTTAGGAGGGTCTGTATTTTGGGAGCGTGTAAGTGGGTGGAGGTCGGTGGTTTGCTGGGTCAAAAGTAGATTCAGAATCAGAAGTGTTAGGGGTATGATGTTTTGTGTGAAGGAGAAGAATCTGATGGGTAGAGAAGGACTGACAGAGAGAGGGTCGGGACCGGAGGATGCAAAAGGCCTGGACGTAGGGAATCTCTGACCATTTTTCATTGTGGTGACAGAAATATAATTGCTCAGTGTGTTAAAATTGAAAGTGCCATTTTCAGGCCATTGAGGCTAGTTTATATTGTGGCCACATAGTGTTACAAAATAAAATGAAGTGCTTGAGCGTGATCTTCCCCATGAGTGTGCAGAGGGAGTATAGTGTGGCCCATGAGAGAGGACGGGTGAGTCACGGACCACAAATCCAAAGGTGACTGTTTAGGGCAGGCATCCCCACTGCTAAACAAACTACCACAAGAAATAAGAGGCGACTCCCTGGACTGGGCATCTCCAATCCAGAAGGACCCAAAGCCAAATGGCTGAGGAGTCTTCTGGCCTAGCACTAGGACTTTCAAGACCAGAGGCTTTTGAGAAGTCAGTGAGAGAGAGAAGGCAGAAGATTCAAGATGAGGGAATTTATGGAATGTCACTTACCTAGATAAGATTGGCCAGTGTGGAATGGATAATCAGCAATGGAGAAAGAGAGGTTCTTGATCCAGCATTCTCCTTTGCTGGCTTGGGAGGGTGCGGGGGTGGTGTCCATAAGGGAGGAAGGCCTAATCGAGGCCGGCCATCATGTCACCTCAGTAGGATTCGGTGATAAAACCCAGGTGGAGCTGCCGCTGCCTACTGCTCTCCGAGTAGCAAATTCATGGTGTCTGAAGCCAGGGCGATGGCTCCCCATCCCCGTGGAACCCCCTTGGGTTTCAGCACCAAATATTATGGTCACCGAAGGAGGAACACATGAGGCCAAAGTGGTAAGGAATTATAAATTCATTAGGTCATCTGGATACCAGGTGGGCTGAGCCCCCAAATGGCACTAGAACCCAAAGACAGGGCGTCAGAGGTTTTTAAAGGACTCTAGGCGGGCTTTTTCTGGGTGGAGAATTCTCTGTGGAGGTTTGTATTCTGGGAAACTCCAGAGAGGAGAGATAATGGTCTTAGCAAGTGGAATGTGGCCTAAGCAAGTGCAATGCCCATTGTGAAGTGGCCTAAAGGTCAGTTCCCAGAGGAGGGGGGATCGATTCAATTATTTGATCAGACCCAACAGGAGCCAAAATGAGAAAACAAAGAAACATGTTTCAAATGAAAAAAGGACAAAACTCCAAAAAAGAAGAAAGAAAGAAAGAAAGAAAGAAAGAAAGAAAGAAAGAAAGAAAGAAAGAAAGAAAGAAAATGGAGACAAGCAATCTACCAAATGCAGAGTTCAAAACACTGGTTATATGGGTGTTCAATGATCTCACTGAGAACTTCAACAGGAGTCAGGAAACATATAAATGGAGAGAGAAAACATCTTTAAACAGAGGTTAAGAATGAAATATCTGAAATGAAGAATACATTAGAAGGAATCAACAGTAGATTAGAAGCAGAAGTTCAAAGAAGCAATTTTGAAGACAACAATTTTGAAAACAATTGGAACAGCAAAACAAAAATTAGGATAATTTAAGGAGCCTCTGGGACAACATCAAGTGTATCAATATTCACATCATAGTGATAGCAGGAGAAGAGAGAGAGAAAGGAATTGAAAACTTATTTAAATAAATAATGACAGAAAACTTCCCTAACTTTGCAAAGAAAATAGACATACAAGCCCAGGAAGTACTGAGAGTCCTATAGTCCTAAACAAGATGAATTCAAAGAGGCCTACATAAAGTCGCATTGTAATTAAAATGCCAAAGGTTAAAGACAAAGAGAGAATCTTAAAGCAGAAAGAGAAAAGCTGTCAGTTACTTACAAGGAGATCCCAGAAGACCATCACCTGATTTTGGTCATAGAGAACATTTTATGAACTTAACCCTAAAGGCAAGGGAAGTAAAGCAAAAATAAATGAATGGGACTACATCAAACTAAAAAGCTTCTACACAGCAAAAGAAACCGACAACAAAACAAAGAGGTAGCTAACCAAATGGGAAAAGGTATTTGCAAACAATAGCTCCAACAAATGTTTAATATCCAAAATATAAAAAGAACTCAATAAAACTCAGCACCAAACAACCCAATCAAAAAATGGGCAGAGGACCTGAACAGAATCTCTCCCAAGAAGACATACAAACAGCCAACACATGTGTGAAAAGATATTCAACCCCACTAGCAATTGGGGAAATGCAAATCAAAATTACAATGAGATACCACCTCACACCTGTTAGAATGGCTATTATCAATAAGACAAGTAATAACAAGTGTTGGAGAGGTTGTGGAGAAAAGGGAAGCCTCATTCACTGCTGGTGGGAATGTAGACTGGTACAGCCACTATGAGAAACAGTCTGGCAATTCCTCAAAAAATTAAGAATATAGTATCATATGACCCAGCAATCCCTCTCCTGCATATATACCCCCCCCCAAAAAAAACCCTCCAAACATGTATTAACAAAGATATATGCACCCCTATGTTCACTGTAGCATTATTCACAGTAGGCAAGACATGCAAACAACCAATGTGTCCTGTGACAGAGGACAGGATAAAGAAAATGTGGTACATATACACAAGGAATACTACTCAGCCATAAGAAAAGATGAAATACTGCCATTAGTGACAACATGGATGGACCTTGCAAATGTTATGCTAAGTAAAATAAGTCAGGTAGAAAAAGCTAAGAACCATATGATTTCATTCATATGTGGGATATAAAACTGAAACTCATGGACGCAAACAGTAGTGTGGTGGTAGCCAGAAGGAAGTGGTGGGAGCATGGGGGTTAAAGGGACCTAATATAAGGTGATGGAAGATGAGTTGACTTTGGGTGGTGGGCACACAGTGCAATAAACAGTTCTTGCAACATAGAAACCCACACCTGAAACCTGTATGATCATATTAACCAATGTCACCCCCATAAATGTAATTTTTTAAAAGAGGGATAAATAAGTGAGATATATATATAAAATTGAATAGTACTTGGCCAAAAAAAAAACAACAACAATTAAATCTTACTATTTGTGACAACATGGATGTCTATTATACTAAGTGAAATAAGTCAGACAGAGAAAGATAAGTATCTTCTGGTTTCACTTATATGTGGAGTCTAAAACATAGAATAAACAAACAAAGCAGAAAACTCATAAATACAGAGAACATTTTGAGGTTGCCAGATGGGAGTGGGGTTGGGAGAATTGATGAAAAGGTAAAGGAATTAAAAACTACACATAGGTAGTTACAGAATAGTCACAGAGATGTAAAGTACAGCATAAGGCCGTGATGGCGAACCTAAGACATGCACGTCAGACGTGACATGCGAACTCATTTTTTTGGTTGATTTTTCTTTGTTAAATGGCATTTAAATATATAAAATAAATATCAAAAATATAAGTCTTTGTTTTACTATGGTTGCAACTATCAAAAAATTTCTATATGTGACACAGCACCAGAGTTAAGTTAGGGTTTTTCAAAATGCTGACACGCCGAGCTCAAAAGGTTTGCCATCACTGGTGTACAGGCAGTCCACAGCGCCTGCATTTTCTGTCTGCAGGTCAAACAGTGCCTGGCAGATGGGAAGAGTCTAGAAATGTTTGTGAATTTAATGTAATCATGAGGACAATATGGAAACCTAGTGGGAGAGTGTTTGCTCTAGAAATGTACACAAACAGCCTCCTTAGGTCATCCTTTCCTTTCTAATCTTAGGTTCAGGTGACCTTGATTCTCCAATGATGTTGGACTCTGGAGAGATCATTGACACAGGATCTGATTATGAAGATCAGGTAATTAAAACCTAAAAACATTTCGCTGTTTAAGTAGTTTTAATTTTAGCCTTTGTTAATGTTTCATGAAAATTAGAATTACAAATCTCAGCATTTTCACTTCCATGAGCCTGATACCTATTAAGAAATTCCAAATCCCAAAAATACTACAATTTGTCAGTCACAAAATAGTCCTGGAAATGTAAAGTACAGCATAGGGAATATAGTCAATAATATTATAATAACTATGTATGGTATCAGGTGGGTACTAGACTTATCAGGCTAATCACTTGGTAAGTTATATAAATGTCTAGTCCCAATATTGTATACCTTAATAAAATATTGAATGTCAACTGTAATTGAAAAATTTTAAAAATTATCCTAAAAAACTTTGTCACTGTGAATAACTGAATATTTGAAAACATAAAGGATTATACATGTTTATAGCCTGAATAACAGTCTTACCTCTTTAGTATCTGGGTGAAACCCATGTTCATAATCAATACCTGGATCAGGGAGTTAAGGCAACAGGTCTGTCCAATGTTGTGTAAACCAACTGGGCCTGTAAGGAAAACAGAAAAAATACTGAGGACAAGGACTAGCTAAGGGATTTAACAGAAGTCATACTTTTTTCTGGAATCTACTTAAGGACATGAAATCCTACAAAGTACTCTCAGAGGCACAAAGAAATCACTAGGGAGCTTGCAAAATAATTGGGGAGAAGAGATAAAGCATGAACTCTGAAAAGTAAAATAGTAATAAAAGTTTAGTCATCCATTAGGAAAGAGAGATGTCACAAGACTTGTATTACTTATTGTCAAATGTGTAGTACAAGCCATTGTTGTATGAGCAAAGGAAAAGTGAGAAAGATTACAGAAAGTGTACCTGGGAGAATTATGAGTTCCTGCCAGAGTTGAGTCTGGGCATCTACAGGGCTCAGGGATAAGAGTAATTTTGGATTCCAGTGGAAAGACCCTACCCAGTTCCCACCTCATGGTTGGAGAAATCAGAAGAAAGCTTTGGGAGAATTCCACTAATCTAAATTCACCTCCAGGGGCTGGAAGCCAAAAGAAACTTATGAGACAACCAAAAGATGGCATTTCTCTAACCCACTTGCAACTAAACATAGCCTTTTAAACACAGCCTTGGGTTCCACAGACCCCACAAAGGTGAATAATTTAAGAGGGTGGTCTGGTTGGTTAGAGCTTTATCCTGTTCACCTAAAGGTTGTGGGTTCAATTTCCAGTGAGGGCACATACCATGTTGTGGGCTTCATCCCCAGTCAGGGTGCATAGGAGAGACAACTGACCTCTCTCTCTCTCTCTCTCTCTCTCTCTCTCTCTCTCTCTCTCAATCAGTGAAAGCAAATCTTTGGGGGTGGGTTTAAAAAAAAGAGGTAGCAAGTACCACTAATATCAGGATCCCTGTGGAAAGGGCTCTGGTGCACATGAGATAAGGCAATAAGAATGTAAAAATCCAGAGTAGCAGGTAATCACAGATATACACTCCTGAATCAGCAGAAGCACTTGCCTGTAGACATACTTGCACACAGGTACAACAGTAAAGACAGGAACTAACTGCTACTATATGATCTAAAGAAGTTTCCACAGATTATCTCATTTATTCTCTCAACAACTGTATGCTCGTAGTACTATGGTTATTCCCACTTAAAAATGCAGAAATGGTGGCACAAGGGATCGGGAGTCATTAACCACAAAGCTCTACTGCTTCAGAGTATAGTGAGTAAACAAAATGTTTCTAAATTGTCAAAAATTGAAAAATGGGAGGGAGGTAATGACCCTGAGGGCAGTTCCAGGCATCCAAGTGTTTTGGTAGCTTCTCCCTCTTCTTCATGTTGCTGTTCTCTTGCTTCTTCTCAACAGGGTCTGCTGAGAAATGTTGAGACTCAGCCAGGACTGATTGGCAAATTTCTTTAGGAACCCAAACACCTTGCCCATTAGTGATCATGCCAAAATCTCCAGACCCTTGGCTGGCAGTTCTTCAGCACTGCATGACCTCACTTCTGGGAAGCGTTCTCATGAGTCAGCCTTGGTGGGACTTCTGCGAAAATACACGACAGACAGTTAAGGGTAAGCAAAGGGAAAAGTACATTCAAGAGATCAGTTCTGTTTCAAGGAGCCAAGTCTTGGAGGGAGATGTATGGAAAGACTGGCTCACAAAGCTCTAGGGCTAGAAATGAGAACCACGCTACACACCCACTCTCCTTGTCCCACATGTGAGGAATGCCCCATTTTCTTCCACCAACCACTCCCCACCAAGGTTCGCCCTTCTGACAAATGGTACAATATTCACCAAGCATTGCATATTAGAGACTGATGTCCCCTTGCTCCTCCTTCCCAGGCCCAAAAAAACTGAGGTCTGTCAATTCTACTGCCTAAAAGCTTCTCACAATCACTCCCCTTTCTCTCCATACCCTTGACTTCCTGGTATAAACAAATAATAAGGAGAGCGGCTTTAAAATGAAGTTGGAGCTGCCATGCCAGAAGAGCTGCTGTGCAGGTCTTATGCCTCAAACCTTTGGAATGTTCAAACAGTGCAAAATAACCTTTGGACTGGGACTAAAGCAACAGTGTATCTCAAAGAATTGTTTGCAAAGATAACAAGAAAGCAGTATTATGATTAAGGGCCTGATGGCTACCAGACCAAAATTTAAAATATTGTTTAGCATTAGTGACACAAGATTAGCCTATCTGCACCAATAAAACTGCCTTTCCTTCTCTTTCTCATGCATATCCCTTGCCTCTGTGTCCTAATCAGAATATTAATTGGGTTGCCCCCTGAATCAGAGCTTCCTGAACAGCTGTTCTTTGATCACAAACAAAAATAAAAAAATGCATATTGCCTCTTACTTTGGCCTTTTGTTTTTAGGGTAAGACTGGAAAGCCTGTCCTGGCTCCCCTCAGACACTTTGCACACAAAGCTTTTAAAATATTTGATTCATCATATTCTAACTAGAGGCCCGGTGCACAAAATTCATGCAGTGGGTGTAGGGGAGGGTGTCCCTCAGCCCAGCCTGCACCCCCTCTATCCTGGAACCCCTCAGAGGATGTCTGACTGCCAGTTTAGGCTCAATCCCTTCTCCCAATATAGGATTGCTGGCTCCCAACTGCTCGCCTGTCTTCCTGTCTGACTGCCTCTCACCGCTTCTGCCTGCCAGCCTGATCACCCCTAACCACTCCCCTGCCAGCCCGATTGCCCCCAACTTCCCTCCCCTGCAGGCCTGATCGCCCCCAACTGCCCTCCCCTGCAGGCATGGTCACCCCCAAATGCCCTCCCCTGCCGGCCCAATTGCCCCCAACTGCCCTCCCCTGCTGGCCATCTTGTGGCGGCCATCTTTTGACCACATGGGGACAGCCATCTTGTGTGAGGGTGTGACAGTCAATTTGCACATTACCTCTTTATTATATAGGGTGTGGGGAAGAGCTGCCTCTTCTGTGAGTGAGTGCACCATTCAGACTCCTGCAGGACAGACACCATTCCCCAGGTGGAGGGGAGTGTCAGTGGTACACAATTCCCACCTGGGTCTCTCAGCTAGAAACACTGGCTCGATCTCTATTCAGTGAGCAAACAAGGAGCAGATATAAAGTCTTTAACACCTTGCCTCAAGGTAAAATAGCTCTGAAGGGTCAGTCATCCAGCTCCAGAGCTCCCCTTAAGATCTTCTGAGGCCTCTGTTGCAATTGTCAGGCAAGTCACCTCTTCCTTCCTCCCATCCCTGCTTTGCTCACCCCTCTTAGTCATTAATTCAAAGGGCACTAAATCTCCTGAACGCACATCTCAGACAGAGCCTTAGTGTCTAAACTGACATCCAACTATGGGCACTGTGTATTTTCAACTGCTCCAAATACACTCTGCATAGTGCATAGGGCATTCAATAAAGAAAGGAAAGGGCTTAGTTTGAGAGTTTCAAAATGGCAGCTGAATAGGCGGACATGTCCTGCACCTTCTCACCGAGCAGATAGAAGGAACAACTAAATCAAATAACATCCACCTGCAATTGGCTAATTAAATACAACTGGTAAGACGATCCTTGGCCAGTAAGGACAGAGGATGCCTGGAGAATGATAGGATTGGGGATCTGGGCTGGAGAGAGAGATTCGTGACCACTGGGACAAGAGGGTTCAGAAGGAACCAGCACTGCACCAAGACCACATCCCTTGGGGACATGCGTAACACCCAACTGTGGAAGGGAGGTGCACAGGGCTGTTGGTGGCTGGGGAATCTAGATCTAAGTCCACAACGGCGAGAAGCTGTTCCCAGAAAGACAGCCTAAAGAACTGCCTAAGCCAGGGGTGGGCAAACTTTTTGACTCGAGGGCCACAATGGGTTCTTAAACTGGACCGGTGTTTGTGTGAACTAATATAAATTCAAAGTAAACATCATTACATAAAAGGGTACGGTCTTTTTTTTTTTAGTTTTATTCATTTCAAACAGGCCGGATCCGGCCCGCGGGTCGTAGTTTGCCCACGGCTGGCCTAACCCATGAGGATCAGGGGGAGGGAGGGAAAAACTCACAGTATCACAGTTGCTTTGAGCCTGTATTTTACTTGCTTTTATTCACTACACCCAGTTCATAGGATCTTTCAATTACAAACAGTCACCAAGGCTGTGATGCAGATGGAGGTGCAGTTTTGTGGATGCTGGGGGGAGGATGTGGAGAAGAGCAGGACAGGGAAAGATGACCAGGAATCTGGCACTGACAACACATTCCAGACCCTCCAAACCTAAGCAGCCATTTTTCCCCTTAAGAATCAGCCCCTCCCAGCAGCTGCAGGGAAACTAGTGCAGCCGCATCCAGCCTCAAGCTTTGCAGAAAAAACAGAAACTCTGAATAGCCCCAGGGAGACCTTGGGGACTAGGTTGGGGGACCGTTTGGCCCTGGAAACCAATACTGCAATATCCCCACCTAAAGCCCATGTCAAAAATAGATGCTTGAGTAATTACGACTGATAACAGGCAGACAAACAAAGCCAGCAGATTAGTCCTGCCTGCTTACAACCAAGGCTGTGGAGATAGACACAAACAGAAAAGAGCTGTGGATCGCTTGGAACTTCGACATGGTGCTGACTACCTAACAGGAAACTGAGAAGTGGTAGACAGAACAGTAGAGTGGGGTCTTAAACCAGCCCCCATGGGACATTAAAACTCAGCTGAAGTGAATGACACTTTACTTTTTTATTTTTTATCTCTTATTTTTTTAAAAAATATATTTTTGTATTATTTTTCTTCAATCTATTTTTATTTTTTATCATTTTATTTTATCTTATTTTTTCATTTTTTCCAACCTTTTCTTTCTTACTTCTCCCTTTTTCATCCTGATTCTCTTTTTCTGTCCCTGCTTTAGTTTTTCTATCTCCTTTCTTTTTACTCCTTGTTAAAAATTGACCTTTATCTTTTTATTGATGTATTATTATTGTAGTCTCTGTTGGCTTACTCATATATCTAATTTTCTCTCCCCTGCTCCAAGTTCATGCACCCTTCCCTTTTCTCTCTCTTCACTAGCCAACTTTTTTATGCTTTTGTTTTTCCTCTCCTCCCTTACTTTCTTCTTCTCCTAATGGCTTAATTAGTTTCACTCACTAAACCCAAGCCTATCTTCTCTCTCCTCTATTCTCCTTTTCTGAAAATAGATGAATAGATAGATAGAAATTTTTTTTTTAATTCTGTTTTATCTTATTTTTTAACTTATTGATTTTTTTGTTTTTTACTTTTCTTCTTAACCACTTATTCTCTTTCTACATCCTCTATACTGAACCATAATCCTTCTCCTATTCATTCAATTTCATAACCTTACTTTCTGTATATAAGCTCTGCCTCTACAGATTCTGTCCCTAAATCCCTTTTCTCGGTATTTGTTGTTTGCATTTTTTGGCATATTTGTTTGTTTTGTAGTGTTTTCTCCCCATATATATGTCTCCCCTTCCTTTTTTCTTCCTTTTCTTTTCTCTTTTACCTTTTTTTTCTTTTCTCAATATAATTTTGATTTCTTTTTTTCTCTCCTAATTCTCTTATCTCTGGTGGTCACATTTATTGGGGTTATTGGTGTTGTGAGTACATTCGTGTATTGTGCCCTTTAAGTTGTGTCTTGCCAAGTTGTATTTTGTGCAGTTCGGTCAATGTAGTAAATAGTGAACCACATAACCAGACACTGTGAGAGGAGACTCAACCCATGAACAGGACAATAACACTCAAGACCCAACTACACCAAGAGAACCCAAATATCCCAAGTAGGGGGCATCCCTAGAATAACCAGCCCAGAAGACCTGAGAGATTGCATCACTAGGTCCCACAAAACATCTACTATATAAAACAAACTCAAAAAATCTGGGTGACATAGAAGTTTGATCTAATACATAGAAACAACCACAAAGGAACAATGGGGAGTAAAAATGGGAAGACAGAAATAAATCCCATTTGAAAGAAAAGGGAAGAAAAAGAAACCACCCCCATTGGGTTCATCTTGTTTGGGACTGACACCAAGTCACATCATAATTAAATTGGCAAACAACAACGACAAAGTAAGAATCTTAAAGGCTGCCAGAGAGAGAGTTGCCTACAAGGGATCTCCCATTAGACTATCAACTGATTTTATTCTTAAAAAGAATTTTATATTTGCAAATATATTGTGTTTATTTAAAAATTTTATTCTTTAAGGTATTACAAATAGGAGTACATGTCTCTTTTTTTCCCCCTACTGACCTCCCCCAGCCTCCCCTACTTCCTGGCACTTGTCCTCGTCCCCCCGCCCCATGTCTTGCGTCAGTTGGTTGTGCTTAAGTGCCTGTATACAAGTCCTTCAGTTGATTTCTTACCCTCCCAAACCTCCCCTACCTTCCCGCTGTAGTTTGACAGACTGTTCAATGCTTCTTTGCCTCTATTTTTGTTCAACAGTTTGTAATGTTATTTATTACCCATAAATGAATGAGATCATGTGGTATTTTTCTTTCACTGACTGGCCTAATTCACTTTGCATGATGCTCTCCAGATCCATCCATGCTGTTGCAAATGGCAAGAATTCCTTTTTTTTTATAGTGGT